ATATATATATATATATATATATATACAGCAGGAGTACCATGACTATACGGCAGCTGGTTCAGACCCTTGATTCCAATAAAGATTCCTTGTTCAAACAAGGAGGGCTCAAAAGAAACCCCAACCCTGACATAATTGTCATAGTAGGAATTTTGACTTTCTTTTATTCCTGAATAGTATTTAGGCTGTTATCACAATTTTGCTGTATTAAAAAAAAATGCATATCTCTTGCTGAAGGTTTTCATATGTGGGAATCACACCAGCTCATGTCTAATTGAATTCCAGGATTCAAGGTGAAAATCCAGGTGAAACCTTTGCACGCAGTAGAAATCAAAATAAGACAGGTACCTCAGATGCTTTTGTATGCAGATTGTTGCATTCAGCTAAATAAAACAAACAAAAATAGCTGGGTATTAATAAAAGGTATCTAAGATAGTCATATCTTCAGAAAGTCAGGAGAACTTTATGATTAAGACCAGTTTAAACATTACAATAACATCTGGCTCATTGAGAGCAAAACACTAAAAAAAAAAATGGAGTGCACACAATGCAAATTTTAAGTTATTAAACTTAAAAGCTCAATATCTTTTCATACTGCAGCCTCCTCTGGATTATGTTCAACATGTGCACTTCCTCTTCAAAATATTATTGTGTCACTTGAAGAAGCAAATTGCTCACCTTCAGCCACTAGATCAGTAATTTTCCATTATTTTATTTTTTATGTTCAGCTAATACCTATTGCCTTTATGTTATTAATCAGTTATTATTATCAGTTATTATTTTTACCCATCTAAACTATGGTAGCAAACAGCGCATTTTTGTTCTTTAGGGTTTCTGGAGACAATAAGAGAATTTTAAAGTGCTCCACTGTGTTGCTTTTGACTTCACATGGAATTTGATGTATTACCTTTCGCCCTAAAAAAAATAAACAAATAGCAGAAAAGGCTGATAAAGTGTCAGACAGTCACAAAGGGACCATAGTAGCTGTTTTGTAAATCAGAGGCACTCACAGGAAACATTGGTGCCATGATAAAGATCTCTGTTCTCTGCAGATGTTTTTTCTTTGTGGAAACCCAAAGAGGCTTGAACTAAGGTGATGAAGATGTTTTTGAATTTCGCCTTTGTGTCTGAGATTAAGCCGAGGGACTCACCATGATCTCTGAATCTCAGCTCCAATCTGCTTGGACAGACTAAACACCAGCTGACGCCAACTTTGTATCAGTCATTTAGGATTTACGGTGAAGGAAAGGCGCAGATGGGACATGACATTCTTTTCAAATCTATCATACACGCATAACCTAAGATCATGTCTTACACTTAAAAGACATAAACTGTTGGCCAACACTAACCACATTGCATCTTCATCAAAGGTTTTAGTTTTTTTAGCAGTCTAAAGTCTGATCCAACCAGATATTTATTTGTGTTTCCGTCCAGGTCAATGTCCACCCGGTCAGTATTCTCATGACGGCTTTGTCCCCTGCTTCCCCTGCCCACTGGGGACCTACCAGCCAGAAGTGGGACGGACCACCTGCTTCCTGTGCGGAGGGAACCTGGTGACTAAACACAGCAGTGCTGTCTCCTTCCAGGAGTGCGAGACCAAAGGTGCCTGAGTCTTCAGCCACTCTCGTCTATAAACTCATGTTTGGTTTAGCTTAGCTACGACATAAATTCATGGTGTAGGTGGATGACTGAGCAAAAACAGGCTGAAACCTATGACATAAAATAAAAAAGGAGTTCTAAATATATGAAAGTTATATATGGAGCAGAGCTCCTTTGTGTCAATAGGAGCTCTGCTGCCCCCTACTGTGCATTTTCTGTGCATTGCTGAAAAGTAATTCCTTCGGCAATAATTTACTTTATATTCCAAATGTAAATAGAATAAAGTGGCTCTGTTCAGCCGTCCAAATTAAATATGCTTCTGTGACTTAAATTAGTAAATGCGACGGGTATCAGATCCTCTCTACTGATTTGTATGAACTGACAATCTTGTTTTATTATTTTTGGCTCCTGCAGTCCAGTGCTCTCCTGGTCATTACTACAACACCAGCACACATCGCTGCATCCGCTGTCCAACGGGCACTTACCAGGGTGAGTTCGGCCAGAACTACTGCGTCGCCTGTCCTGGGAACACTTCTACCGACTTTGATGGATCCACCAACATCATGCAGTGCAAAAGTAGGTGTTTATTTACGGCTGCAAACACTGAAACAGCAGAGCAGTCAGAGTGGGCCCAAGTTTATATGAGGTCCTATCATTGATCATGGCTACCCTCTGCATGATAGACAATTATATTAGTGCAATGAATCAACTTTGTGACAAAATGTGCCTCTCTTCAGAAATATCAGTCCCTGTTTAATGTTTGTTAAAAAGATAGCACCACTTTTTACTCTGTATTTATTTCCCTATTAATTCTATAAAGGTCTTTACTTTCTGTTAATATACTTGTTTCATCTCCACCTGGTCTTTTTAGTAAATTTAGTAAATTTGGAGGTTTGACACAATTTTGAATTGTTTTTCCCATCTTCTATGGTTCAGTTAGCAGCAGAAATAAGGGGATGTCTGAGCTATAAATTAATCAGCAACATGATATTAACATCAGAAGAAATTCACTTAAGGTGTAAAGATATAAAATATCACTTAATTTTAAGCCAAAGTTATGTATGACAACTAAATGCATATATTAAGGTAAATGGGGGCTTTTTCATAGGGAAGTAACTCATTTTAATTGTAGAAGTAAATGGATCTCTCTGCACACAAACAGCAAAAACCTTATTATTCTGTGGATCTACCTATCTAATTAACACTAGAGGACGAAATGATGAATCACTTTAAATAAAGCATTGTCTGTTGACTTAATTGTTAAACTTTAAAGGTTTAATATTGGTTTTGCATAATTGCTACTTTTGTAAACCTCTCCTGCATGAATCTCCTCAGGCCAGCAGGGGTCCCTAAGAAGCTGCAAAATCAACAACATAACAGCAATAAAACCTCCTCAAATATGAAAGAAAAAAAAAGAAATGTGTCCCACGTCTGTCTGTTTTTCTTAACAGACCGGGATTGCGGTGGAGAGCTGGGCGAGTTTTCTGGCTACATCGAGTCTCCCAACTACCCTGGGAACTATCCAGCAAACATCGAGTGCACTTGGACCATCAACCCACCACCCAAACGCCGGGTTCTTATTGTTGTGCCTGAAATCTACCTCCCCATGGAGGACGAATGTGGAGACTACTTGGTGATGAGAAAAAGCTGTAAGTCTTACTGGTTGGTGTGAAACTGCAAAGTTTTAATTGTAGAGATAGCTTTAGGCGTTTAGAAGTTTAAGGAAAACTAAAGGTGAATGGAAAATCTCTTTAGAATAAATTCTATCCATTTAAAAGCAAAGGGAGCAGAAATGTATACAAATATTTGGGTGATTTAGAAAGCAGAGCTTGTTAAAACTCTTAGGATCTTTATGGTTCCAGCAGATTTTTCCAGTTTTACTTGAGGAGATTCTCCCGTGTTTCCCCCTCTTTAACTCACAGCTCTCCCCAATTCTGTGACGACTTATGAGACTTGTCAAACCTACGAGCGACCCATCGCTTTCACGTCCCGCTCCAAAAGACTGTGGATACAGTTCAGGTCTAACGAGGGAAACAGTGCAAAGGGCTTCCAGGTTTTATACGTCACATATGATGGTAAGACTAAACTGTTTATTTTGTCTTTTAAAGTCATCGGTGATGGAAAGCTGACTCTCAATCAGGGCTGTCCAAAGTGGGATGTAGCCCTCAGAAATTTGCTGTCTGCAGGTTTAGTTGATTTAGAAAGAACAGCAAAGTGTTGGTCTTTCTTTAGAAATGTTTCTGCTTTTACTGTGATTGCATAATAAAGAGCACAACCACCCAGTGATTTTAACTGAAAGCACCTTTCATTAACGTTGGCAGGCATGTTTTGGTGAAAAAGTTGTTTTTATTCTATCATTGTTGCTGAATACGATTCTATGCAGACCCAAAATTTTATTGATCTGCATTTCTGTATTTTTATAAGATAAAAGTGTTTTGCAACAGTGATGTTTCACAGATCTGTTTTAATGCAAAAACCAACTGCTTTGCTTTAAAGAATTATGCTGTGTTTTTCGTTTGCTGGTAAAAATAGCAAAATAACGCACACATCAAAATGTATTTTATTAAGAAATATAAAATATGTATATTTTTAATTGATGTATAAATAGGATGACTTCAATTTAAAAGTGTTTTTTAAGAAATGGAAATGAAAAACATGGGAAAGAGCTATTTTTAAATAGAATACTATAGAATAGAGACACACTGACTCACATTTTCTCTGGCTTCTTCAATTATTCCTTTTTTTATCACTGACTTAATTTATTCTTAAATAAAATTATCTACCATTTCTAACTTTGCTTTTTTGTATTTTTGTTTTTCCAGAGGATTACCAGGAGCTGATTGAAGACATAGTGAGAGATGGAAGATTGTATGCATCAGTGAATCATCAGGAAATTCTAAAGGTAAAGCATCTCTGGTTTCCACTTGCCAATTTCAATTCTGTAAAATTTAGCATTAATTTGATAAATATTCGTCATTAATTGTTCCATTAAATCTTTAAATCTATAGGGCAATTTACGGTTTTTGATCACTAACATACCCCTTACAAATGGATTCTCCCCCATCCCTCAGTGAGGTCTAGAAGCAAAAGATCTATATCCAGCCATTCAGCAAAGATGCTGCTACATGGCTGTACATCTTATTTTGGCATTTGACCAATTAGATGAGCCCTTGGATGATTAAATTAAAACTAATTGAAAAGTTAAAAATTAAAGTAAAAAGTTAACAAGCCTAGTTAACAATTATACGTAGGTCTATAAACTAAAAAATGTAAGTGCCAGTATCAGCATTAATGCCTCTAAGGGTATGTTGTACCAAAAAATGTGTGACTTTTTTTCATGAATTTCTTATAGAAGCGCTTTTGTTATTTTTCTTAATAAATTTGGTCTATTTGGCTTTTCTTGTTATTACATTGACATTCATTTTAGCCATCAGAAAATCTATATTTTTGACTGTTCCAAAGGTAATAAGGTCTTGTCCTGGATTCCAATAATACTATTAGCTTGAAATTTGGATTTTCAAAGTATTTCACTGAGTGTCCTATAAAGGGTTTACTGCACAGATAAGAGTATTATTATTTGACCACTGAATCTCCAATAACCAACTGAACAGTCAATAGTATCTCGTAAGGATGTGTCTACTGGACACATATGAAACAAAGACTATTTCTCACATTTAGGTGTTCTAACAACTTCTCTCTGTATTTTTCTGTCAGGACAAGAAGCTGATGAAAGCATTGTTTGATGTGCTGGCTCATCCGCAGAACTACTTTAACTACACCTCTCAGGAATCCAAAGAGATGTTTCCTAAATCCTTTATCCGCTTTGTGAGGTCCAAAGTCATGAGATTCTTTCGCCCTTAAAAGGATTTTTTAGACAGAGGAATCAGATTTCTCACCATAAAATCAAGTCAGACACTGGTGGCACGTTTGTGAATGTTTTGTTGTTTCTTTTTTTTTATGCCCGGAGCCAAAGTAGAGCGGATCTAAAACTGATTTGTGCAAATAAATGAAGCAACTGGACTTAAGAAATACGTTTCAAGACTGAGTTTTGAAGATGTAAGGATTATTAATCTGGTGCGGCATCCCTGAAAAGAATCCGGATATCTTCCATTGTTTTGGAATGGCCTCCTATAGATAAAAAAAATCAGGACTGATATCCAAAGTGCAGATCTTTGCTGTGGAACTCTGCTTATTAGACATGCTGACTTTTCAGGAATTGTTCTGATTTGATTATAAAGGAATACATGAACTGTAGCTGATCAGATAAATACTGAATGTCAGTGAGACTGTATATAGAGTGTATAACTAGTTTTAATATAGGCTACTTTCAGAGGCAAAGGGAACAAAAATATCCGGAACAGACAGAGCACAAATAACTTTTTGAGACCACTAGCACTACTAAAGAGGTTGACCCACCGCAAAAGCAATTATTTTGATTGATATTTTGTAAATGATGTAAAAAGTTTTGGGTGAAAGGCTCACATATAACAGTATACCTGTAAGCGTTGGTGGTATTTTTTAATTTTTTTTCCCAGGGTGTTTATTAAACAACTACTGTGTTTTATGTATCCATAATAAAAGGGCCTCAAGACATAACAGCCTAACATGATGTTAGGATTGGTTTTGAACAGCCAAACAGAGACCTAGAAAAATGAGAAATATGTTGATAGAAGGAAGAAAAAAAGAAGCATCCTGTAGCAAACAGCTGAGCGGTTTACCTGTTCTGGAGGGGACATATATGTATATTCTTTTGGTTTTGTACATCTAACTTGCTGTAAATAAAGATTTCACTGATCACTGTCTAGAATGGCTACTTTTTAATGTATTTTTTTATGAACAAACTTTAAAGCTACAGTGTGTAATTTTTTTTTAGCAGAATCTAATGGTCAGACTGCAGCAACATGAATCACTGCCCCACTGCCTCTCCCACTTCACTAAAACCACCACAGTCAGAAAAAAGTGAGAAAAAAGTCAGAATTGTGAGATTAAAGTCAGAATTCTGACCTTTTCCCCATATTAAACTGTAATAATATTTAGAATCAGTTATGTTTTTTGGTTTTTTTTCAGTGGCCCTAATCCTCTTCCGTACATTTTTTAAAATTATAAACCATCATATACAATAGTCAAGGTGTCGGCATCAGATGTATATTAACCTGAAAAACCTGGAGGAGCCAACCCAGGTTGCTTCCGTATTTACAGGACAAATAGAACCAAACAAACAAACAAACAAAACACACAATAAAAAAAAATTAAATAAATACAAGCACACACACATTAGGGGTGTCTCATCAGGTTCTGCATCTTGTTTTATTTGTCCATGAATTTCAGCAATAAGAAAAGGTGGCAGAGTTCCTTGTGAAAACTGGGGAAAGATGGTTTGACTTTAAGAAAACGACATTTGTGAATGAAAAACTTGTCCATGATGATTATTATATTAAGTAGTCTTTCAAATTTCCTTTCTTTTCTCAGAGTCCCCAAAAATAACACCTTTCTTAGAGAATTCAGGTAAGTTTGGAATTTTGGGGAAAAGCCAGTAGTGCACATTATCCCACAAAGCTTTGCAATACATACATTCATAGAAAA